GCAGCAGGAAGGTGAGTCATAGATGACTTACTTTTGTATCTATATTGTCTAACATTAAAAACAAATTACATACATATATTTACTTACATGTAGAATATGTTTATTTGCAAAAATACTCTTTTTAAAGTTTATCCACTACTCCTTCCATTAGAGAGAGAGAGAGAGATACCTACATCCCCAGCAGGGTTTTAATGCCTTAATCCACTTTCATTAATAGTCCCAGATAAAGGACTTAAGTGTGACTGGCCCGTTCAGGAAGGTCTATAGACACAAACCCAGAACCTGCCCGAAAGGATGAACCTCACAGAACATTGTGCTACTGTTGTACCACCATCTGGCTCCTAAAACACTTGAAATGAAAAAAATAAACGAAAAATAAGTAGTAGAATTTCTGTGTCATCTGTCATGTAACGCATGTGTGCCATCTTTCATTTGCCACTATAGTGGTCCTCATCTAAAAATGAAGCTATTAAGTCCTTGAAACCCATCAGAGAGGCTAATCTAAGACTCGCTGGACAACTGAGCCTGGAAGGACTATGTGTAGAACCCAAGAGAGAAGACCTCTAGAGAAGAAATTGGAGTTTTACTCTACCATTTTTTTCCTCCACATTTGTATCAGAAATGGAAAATATCCCTATTCCATAATAGCCACAGTATGATTTTCTGTGTGGTCATTGTATAATCAAAATTCTACACTACCGACAATTCCCTATAGAAGGAGATTTTGATTTAATGATATAACTGATGATGTAAGGAGAAGAAAAGAGTTAAATAGTATTAGAAGAAAATGGTCTGAAACAATCAAAATGAGTCTTGCATTAGTGAAGCTAAAACCAAACTGGCTGCAATTAAGTATCCAGGGACTTGGGGATAGGTATTTCTCAGACTCTGGAATGGTGGATCAATACTGATCAATAATGATTCCATTTTGGTGAAAACAGCATTGCATATTTCTGTTTATTCTTCTGACATTTAAGAGCAGCCAGGCCTCATTTGAAATGAGTGCTGTGTCATGGGCAAAATGTGGACTTTGGAGACTGATAGATCTCACTCAGCTCAAATTCCAGCATCATTACAGTGTGTTGGCTGTGTGACCTTGGGCAGGTCACCACATTTACTGGAACAGCAGCTCACAAAAAGTAACAGCAGCTTCCAGGGCTGCAGGCATCAGAAGTGACAGCTTGAATGCAAGGTGTTTTCTATGGATGATGAACTCCCTGCACCTAGGTATCACACTTCCCTGTCCTCTCACATCATCCCCCCCCCTTTTTTTTCAGAAATGCTTGCTATATGGCATATGTGCTTGCCAGAAAGACAGAGACAGAAAGTGAGAAATCACCCCCCAGAGGGGATGGTCTTTCCACAGGCCTGTCTCCTCCATTCTCCTCTTTGGATCTTGGGCACACATGCACATGTGCCCAACGTGAATTTAAGCCACCGGGTCTGGGACTTGAACTGCTGTCAACTACATGGAAGTCCAGCGACATAGCCATTAGGCCAACTGCTGGTCTCCACATCTCCACTTTTGAAGAAGCAAGAACCACTCCTTACGGAAAGCAAATGTGGAAACGCAACTTCGAGGGAATTTGGAATGAGAGAACACCCTCAGCCTTGGATGAGGGTCTCTCTCCTTCACTCTGCCCTGGACTCCCATATCCCTCCCTGTCCTGTGCTCCATTTTCAGCACCACCTGAGAGTGTATCCTTCTGTATATCTTCAATCAGGCTCATTTGCCAGGATCTTCCTACATGTTCATATGCAAATCCACAGCGATTCTCTGAAACAAACTTGTTTCACTCTTGGTTTCCATTAATGTTAAATCCTCCAAATGACCTTTTTCCACCTGTCCATTCCTGCGGTTTCCTTAGCAGATTCCAATTTATCATCCTCACCCCCAAGCTGTTCTGCTCCTGTGTAAGGTCCAGCCCTCTCAGGACCTCAGCCAGCCTCTTAGCTGGCACTTGACACTCATCCCTCTCCCTGGGGAAGATAAGACAATGATCAAGCCAAATGACCCTGGCCACTGTGTGATCATTATTAGTTGATGAATCAGTTCTCTCTCCCTCTCTCCATCACCTACAGTAAACTCCTTGTCAGCATGAGGGAACGTTGCAAAGTGGGTTAGAAATGGAGGTTCTGGCATCTGACTGAAGTTAATCATGATAGCAGACATAAAGTGCTTAGCGCCTGAAATGTGGTCAGTGCTAAGCAAAGGTGAGCTACTGGGACATGTGCCTATCTCTGCAAGGAAGAGGTGGTCAGCTTTTGTTCAACCTCTTTAGCGATATCACCAGTGAAACTTCTAGGACAATCCTCACTCTCCTCCTCCTTCCTTTTCTATAATTCCCAGTTGTCCTGGCTGGAGGTTATTTACAAACGGTGGAATCCTAAACCTTTCTGAGACCAGGAAGAAAGCTATGGATCCATAATTTTGCATCTAATTCCTAAAGTTCACAAAACTCTTGACCTCAAGTATAAGAACCCTAGTTTGAACATTAATTTGTAAAGTGAAATTTTTGTCATTGTTGGTTTGTTTATTTTTTGGTCCTGAAAATTACTATCTTCTCGTGATAATATATACATATATATATGTGTGTGTGTATGTATGTATATATTTTTTATATAATGAAAAAAAACCCTGTGATTAAAGTTATATTTAATGGGGAAATACTTCATCTTTCCACTATAATTGGGGACAAGTCAAGGATGACTGTTCATACCATGTCTATTCAATATTGTACTTAAGGCCCCAGGCATTGCCATAAAGCTCAGAAAAGAATATGTATATAAAACTAAAACTATTTTCATTTGCAGACCAAAAAAGCTACTAGAAATAATAAGTGATTTCAGCAAGATTGAAAGATCCAAAAGCTTTTTTTAAAGGGATGGATCAGATGATCAAGGTCTGGAGGGTCTGAGGAAGGACATTTGGGGGAGGGACAGGGAAGCAAAGCATTAATGGCCCAAAGAGGTGTGGTATTATCTGTTGAAGATATTTTGTAGTTTTATCAACAGTACTAGGGAGAAATGTTCACCTGTTGAAATACCCATTTTGTAAGACAAATAATATTGTGATTGAATGTATGGAAGAAAATGAAATGAAAAAAATAAGTAAATAAATAAATAGAAAAATAAGAAGTTTGTGAAAAATGAAAAAAAAATCCATATAACCCAAATTGGATCACACTGTAAATGCAATATGTAAAATAGTCAAGGGTTGGGGATTCTAGTCCCAATTCTGCCACTTATCGTGTGACCTAACAAATTACCTGACTTGTCTGTTTTTCTGATTTTCATCTATAGACTAAAAATATAATCATAAACATATGGTGTTCTTTAGATAGTTCACAATTAAAGAAGACAATACGTATGAAGTCTTTGGCATAGCTCCCAGAATGTAGTAGATTTTCAATAAATGTTAGCTTACATTAAATGGCAACTGTATCTATTTTCTCATTTTAACTTATGTGCATGATGTGACCATGTGGCAGATCTTGTAGAGTTGTGATAGCAAAATAATGTTTTCCCAAGCTTTTTAGATGGAGAGACACAGAGCTAAGAACAATATTCTGGATAGTGCAGTAAATCTCCTTTCAACTTCTTTGACCTGAAAGGAGAAATCTATGGGCCAGGATGAATATAACATTTTCTATATTTAGGGAAGCTGACTTTGGGGACATTTTCTTTTAAGCCTGAAATACTTTAATACTCAGGAACTTAGAAATAAGCTGTCATCATTCTGCACTTGTTTAATGACATACATAGGCTTTAGCTCTCTAATAACAAGTGCTTTGTGGGAAAACTGTGTTTGAACAGCAAAAACAAGCCCAGTGCTCTGCGTGGCATTCATTTATACTACTCCAGCTCTGGCTTTTGACAACAACAAATTGTATAAGCTTTGGCGACCTATGGCCAGCAAGAAATAAAGTATCATGTTTAGTAGCGTATTACTTCTCCCTTAATGTACACTAATCACTGTCTTTAAACCACACAGGACTTACAGTGTACCAGAGGTCCAGAGTCTGCTCCTCTTGTCCACAGACAGCATCAAGCTCAGCTCTAGCTCCTGCTGGAAGGTATGTTCATTTCTGAGTGAATCAGTATTTCATACAGCTTCTCCATAATCTGTAAACAAAATAATCGCTCTAAATTGAAGATTTTCTTTTTATGCATCATAATATTGTCTAG